GAAAAATACAAAAAACAAAAAAAATGTAGCGCTTTTCAAATCTTTTACATCATGTCTCCACAACAGGAGCACTTCAGAACATAATTCAAACAGATTCAGGAAGCTACAGCATAGGACTACAACTTTTGTTTTTGACCATTTTTGGTAATTGATCATGTGACCACCATCCCAACACCCCATTAGATGGACCCTGACAGGTAGAATCATTCTTATCTTGTTTTTCTTCACTTTTTGGTCAAATAAGGTGAGCTTTTCTTTTGAAGTGGACCCTGAAGTGGACCCTAAAAGTAGTGCCTGACATCCCTTACACCATTTACATTTTTTCTGGCTTTTTTCTGATATTCTGGTTATTTTTTCATCAGAAACAAAGAAGTTTCCTTATTTGGATGTTACCCTGAACCCTGAACAAAGTACCTGAACATCATCATCAACAGTGGGAACCATTTCTATTTTTTTCTCATTTTTTTGGTGATTATCTGGCTATCATTGGATAGATTACCATATTTGGAAATAGACCCTGAACCCTGAAAACAACCCAACATCATCACCACCATCCCCCAAATTTTCCTGATTTTTCGAGTATTTTTAGATAGATTACCATATTTGGATAGACCCTGGACCCTGAAAACAACCCAACACCATCCTCCAATTTTTCCTGATTTTTCGGGTATTTTCTGGTTATTTTTGGATAGATTACCATATTTGAACATAGCCCCTGGACCCTGAAAACAACCTAACATCATCACCCCATCCCCCAATTTTTCCTGATTTTTCGGGTATTTTCTGGCCATGTTTGGATAGATTACCATATTTGGACATCCCCTGGACCCTGAAAACAACCTACCATCATAACCACCATCCCCATTTTTTTCTGATTTTTCTGCTATTTTTCCTTTAGATAAGCGCACATTTCCATATTTGGCAATGTGCCCTGGACCCTGAAAACAACCACATTTGGAAGTGCGCTTTTGGACCCTGAAAACAGTGAGCAAGCCATGGGAATCAGTGAGCACCAAGGCTGGCTCTAGGGCGCTCAGCAAGGCTACCTTCCTGATTAGGAAGGTTGGTCAATTGACTGCTGTGATGCATAGGTAGACTTAGTCAATAGACTATATCTCATACATAATTCTGGATGTACTGGCTGCTTCCTCCTTCTCTCGTCTCATCACGAAAACTAACTGGGGTTTTTGTTACATACGAACAGGGAAAAAGGAGATGCCTCCAAATCCTGCGACTTCCTCCCACCAGACAAACAATACCTAGTAACGTGTGGGGTCCCCTGCCTCCAGTGCGACACCCCTAGCCTACACAGATGCAGACAAGGACGCCAACCACCTCCTCTCCTTTGCTGATTCCTCTTCCCCCTCCGCAGACGGCAATGAGTGGGTTGAGACGCAAGCGGGGCGTCAGGCTCATAGAATGGACTCTGCGACGAACACAGGTGAGATTGCGGATATCCCTGATTTGGATGGGGATGGGCCACATGAGGATGAGGAGAGGATTGTGAGAGGGTTGGGAGGCGTGTCGTTAGCTGGGGGTGAGGGTGTTGGGCCAGAGATGCCTGATTTGGATGATATCCCTGATATGGAGGAGGATGATTTGGAGGAAGGGGATGATGAGGCTATGGCTTCTGCACCTAAGACGGCTGTTATACCTGCTGCTGCCAGGGTTGATGCTAGGTATGTTTTGTTGTTGGGTGTGCTGGAAATCAGAAAATGTTGATGATTTCTTTGTAGCGCTAATGTGGAAGTCGCAAAGGGCAATCTTCTTCAAGTCCGCATATATGACGTAATGATCACATACGACAAGTATTACCAGACCCCACGAGTCTGGCTGATCAGTTACAACGAGGTCTGCCTTTCGCCCTATTTTGTTCTACACTAGCTAAACCAAAATAACAAAATCACACCCCACTAACCCCCTCCCAAATCTTCCAAGACATCTCAGCAGACCACACCCAGAAAACAGTAACAATCGAACCCTTCATCCACTCTGCCTCTCTCCAAGCCGCCTCTGTGCATCCATGCAAACATGCCAGTGTCATGAAGAAAGTGATAGAAAGGATGAACAACAGCATCATTGAAGAACAGCTCGCACAGCATGGTAAACCCTCGGGGAAGGACACCCCAAAGAAAGAGAAGAAATGGCCATTTAGCTGGAAGTCGTCTGGGAGCACCAAGGTCGTTCAACAGTTGCAAGCTGGGGCTGAGGAAGAGGAGGTGGAGGGGATGAGGGTTGATTTTTATTTGGTTGTTTTCCTCAAGTTTATTGCGAGCATCATGCCGACTATTGAGGTTGACTTGACTACATCTTTTTGAGTTTGATGCCACTCTCCCCTTTGTCCTCTGACTTTATCTGGTACCCCTAGTCCTCCCTCATTGCTAAGCCATTGTTTCTTTTACCTGTATTTTTTTTTACTGCTGTTGGTACTTAGAGCTCCTCTTTCTTTGTGAATACATTGCAATGTGGAATATGTATCTGTATCTTTTGTGTTTTTCTGACAGACTTTAGAGAATACATAAATCATGTCTCATCTCACCCCCCTCTAACAACTCTTTGAACTCCCATACACATACACTGTGAAGACAACTCAAGGACACCCTCAAGCTGTGGAAGCTTGAGAACATGAAAAGCTTGTGGACTTTTAAAAAAATTACCATCCTTAACTTTCTTTTGCTCAAATGAGACTATCTATTTTTTTGGGAACAACAAGGCAAAAGGTGCATCATAATGGGTGGTAACTAGAGACATGTGCTGCATTTATGAAATTCTGGGAAGGTGGGCTGAAACTTTTATAAAGCTAAAATCAAATAAATGAGAAGACCTTGGAAGACTTGGAATATTGATACTCACGAAGACGATTGTCCATAGCAATCTTTACAAGGGCCTGTTTCTTTTGGTCCTTGGTTTTCATATGAGAGGCCTCCACAATGGCAGTATTGATTTTTGCCACATCAGCAGACAAGTTGAACTTTTGAATGGCTGATTCAAAGGGGGCAGTGGACTTTGAAGGTTTCTGTTTCCACAGAAAAAAAGAGTGCTCCACAATGATAGCAGTCACTGAGCAGTAAAATAGTAGTTATGATAGAGTGGTCATAAATGAGAGTAGACACACCAATACATAGAAAGGCAATGTCCTTGAAGGATTTGGTATTGTGAATCTGGATAGAATTATGTGGTGGTCAGAATAATGAATGGCATTTACAGTGAAGCTAGTGAAGGTTTACCAAGGACCAGTCTGTATGATCAAGGACATCCTTTGCCTAAAAATAGTAATTGGTTCAGTCAATACTACTGGGTTTTATAAAAATATTGGAAGAAACAAAATACTCACTGTCTATTTGAGCAAGTGGAGTTTCATAAGTGTATTTCTAAAATTGTAGAACTGAACTCACAATCTCATCATTTCTTAGCAAAATGAAAAGAGAAGAAAGCTGAGACCTACCTTCTATTTAAAACACAGGCCACCCTCTTATCAACAACAAGTAGAGAAGAACAGTCAGATGGTGACTTACATCCTGTTCAAAACCCATAGCATGCTCTGGTCAGCAACAAGCAGGAAGGGCCAGCCAGATCCTGACTTACATCCTGTTCAAGACCCAGAGCATGCTCTTGTCAGCAACATGCAGGAAGGGCCAGCCAGATCCTGACTTACATTCTGTTCAAAACCTAGAGCATGCTCTTGTCAGCAACAAGCAAGAAGGGCAAGCCAGATCCTGACTTACAGCCTGTTGAAAACCCAGAGCATGCTCTTGTCAGCAACAAGCAGGAAGGGCCAGCCAGATCCTGACTTACAACCTGTTTATAACCCAGAGCATGCTCTTGTCATCAACAAGCAGGAAGGGCCAGTCAGATCCTGACTCACCCACTGCATCAGTATTTCTACAGTCCGCTCGTCACGACTTGTTTGGACTTGTTTCAACTCGTACAAGCCAAAACGAGTCACAAGCTACGAGTTGGCAAGTAGATCCAAAAACGTCACAAGTTGCTTCACGAAATTGCTCAACGAGCTGCAACAAGCCGGCAAGTCTCAAAAAGTCGTAACCCAATTTCGAAAGATTTCAGACATTTGTAATAAAGAAATAGTGTACATTAGTTACAGTAGTAGGTAAATAACGAGTGAATGGCCATATGGTATGCCGTCGATGATTGGATGGCAAAGTGACTAATGGGAAACGACCAGCAGGACCTCCTCCGACAACTAGTTGGCCATATGGGCTGCAATGTTGCGGCTTTGATCGCTTCTACATTGGTACTCAGAGTGAACGGAGGGGAAGTGAGGGAATCGACGAACCTTAGACATTCTTGCCCATGTTGTCATTGGGCCCGTGAAGCTCAACGACGGCAATTACACAATCTGGATTGATGGGGGTAGACATCAGGCCCATCCGGTCCAATGGGTTTGCGACATGCTGTTGGATTGAGTTTGAACAACTGGACATCAGAAAAGATGAGTGACGTGGCGTTGTCGGATTGGCGGCAGGGAGAAGTGCGATGGTTGGTTGAGTCCGACGTGGCACAGTGTATCGATGATGGAGCGTCTGTGCCTTTTCTCTTTCTGGAACACAATTGACAAGCGTCGAGCAGAAGGTTGTTGCTTGGGCTAGGTGGCTGACTCTGAACGAACAAGTTTGGAGTCGGGCCAAGACGAAATGCTTGTTGCTTTTCGAAGCTCAACAGTTTTCTAAGCCATAAAGTCAGCCATTCACATCACTCGAGACTGGTAAGATATGTACCCCTTCCGAGAGTAACCGCCTATGATGGGGTGGTGTTGTTGTGTGCGGAACCTCACAAGACCGTCATGAGGCATGCTCGAGTAAACAACGCCAGCGTGGTGGAGAGGTATGGGTGCCGTTGGGGTGGATTTGGGGTGGATGAAAAGAGCCAGACATCGCGCAAGTAAGTACTCGGAGTATGGTGGTCAACGTTCAAGATGTTTTCAACAGACGTGTGTATCTTGGTTACTGACAATTACATAAGCAAGTCAAATGACTTTTTTTTCGCTAAGTCTTCTCGTTGTTAGGCAGCTTGTCAGCTTGGCAGCTTGTGACTTGGCAACAAGCTGTCAGTAACAAAAAGTCGTGAAAAGCTCACAAGTAATTTGTAGATTTGCTGATGTGTTTATAACCCAAGGCATGGTCTTGTCCGCAACAAGCAGGAAAGGCCAGCTAGATCCTGACTCACCCACTGTTATAACAAAAGCATGATCCCATTAGCATCTACTTGAGGCCCACTGGATGTTGGCTTACCGCCTGTTCATATATATTATTTTGTTCTACCACTGTACAGTCAAGTAAGGTCCACATACCATATGTGGAAAATAATTCAGTATCTTCTCAACCATCTTCCTCCACTCTCTCTTTTCATTGAATAACTTCCAATCTGGAAAGACAACTCTGTTATTCTAGATAATCAGCAATTTACCAGCATATAATTCAAAATGAAGCAACTACCTTTTAATTGCATATTCAATTGACAGAGCCACATTATTTTGCTGCACTGTAAGAGTGTATCATCTGAAAAGGTGGCTGCTGTCTTCCTCAGCAGTTCACTGCAGTCACTTGTGGGATTTTGCATATCTGTCAAATGCAATTAATCTATTGTCAATGAGTAAATGAGTTTGTTATACCTCGAAAATACACATGATCCTTGGGAGGATACTTTCTCTTGAAGAGTTGCTTGCCAAATTTCTCTTCAAACCTGGCAACTGACTCTTCTGGAGCTTTATTTGCAGCATCTTCAACATCCATTCCAGTATCAACCAGGTGTTTGATGGTTGGAGCATCAAGCATATCTGCTTTTGTAAACAGGACAATAACAGGAACTGTGCACAAAAAGGAAAGGTGAAATTCATGAGATTATCAATAGTTTACACACCTCTACCAGTCCCACACTCATCAAAGAAAGTTAACTCTGCTCTTGTAAATG